AACTAAAAGAGGCTAGCTAAATACTTTTAGAAATTGTCTAAAAGCTGAAGTAGCAATATGTTAGCAAAAAGCAGCGAGTATGATTTTGCTTATCGGCGAATAGTGAAGTGGATTAGCATTTCCGCTAAATTGAAAATTGTGAGCGGACCAATTAGCTTCTGTTATATTAAGTTTTGCCAACTTTAAGCTTGCTTAAAGCTAACAAGCTAACATTGACAGGTTTGTGTCAGTCTCACCAGTGACAATCATCTTAGCGGTTAGCATTTAGCTTTACATTTTTAGTGGTTTAGTCTTAGCATAATAGCTATTTTTCGTTAGTGGTTTATGAGTTGGTTAAGCTAACTTCTTGGTTGGCTAGCAAACAAACAAAAACTAGCAAATAGTTGATGCTAGCTTTAGTATTAAATTGTTTTTTCAAGCTGAGGTTGTTGACAGAGTTTTTATCTACAACAGGTAACATGTTAATTGTTCAGAATCTCAGTTTAAGCTTCAGTAAAAAGCCAGACACAACGGCTACAACGACAAAGAAATATTTATTAAAACCACTTTTTTCTTCTCTCGTTTCGTTGTTAGTCGTCGCTGCTCCGACACGTGTATTTACAAAGACTTCGGCTTCTTGTTTTTTTTTTTGTAGAAAAGTCTGGTGAAGGACAGTAAACAAAGACAGAGTATTTTAAATGAGTACAGTCACTACAACAGTCAAAGAAACATGCAGATTTGTGCCACATCTGATCAAAAAAAACTAAAACATTCGTGGTTAGAAGAAGAAAACGTTTCCTTTAAAGATGAGGAAATGGAGAACAGATGCGGCGACACAAACGTCTTTCTTTACAAAACACCAACAACGTGAAAGTCAGGCGCAGAAAACAAACGTCGTTAGCATCGGTCGGCGTAAAAAACACCCGAATGTGAATAAAAAGTGAAACACCTGGAGCCTGAAAGTCACGTAATAAAAAAAAAAAACAATCAAAAACGGAAAGAGCGTCGATTTTTGTGATTCTGATTGTAACTGCAGCGTTCTGCGTGTCGGACAGTTTTTACC